CTGCTGAACTAACTTTTTTTTTCCCTCCCCTTTTGAAACAGATCCAGGCTTGCCTCTCAAGCTGCTTTTGACTACTCTGGATAGTAGCAACACATTGAATCTGACATGATTCTTCCCAGTTGTACTGCTGCAGATGGAATTCTGAGTACAAGGAATGAAAATTGATAGGACTTGTTGGTGTTCCTTCTGCCATAGCCTGGCAACTCTCTGAGCAGCAGCAGCGGTACTAAAGCTGTATCTGTAAACTGAGGAAGTTGGACTCCTACCCATTGGAACAAGTGCTAAGATATTTAAAGTCAATTTTTAGTTTCTATGAAAAAAGTTAATGTCACCTGCTTTTGAAACTCACTGGGGAGACTATTAAGGAAGAAGGATTTTTCATTTCCTCAAAACCCTATTAGTGTACATTTTTGGAAAGCAGCCTTAATAAATATTGCATCATACTATACCTACGTATCTGTTGACTTATATGAAAATTCAATATGCGTTTCTTAAATAAGCATAGAAGCCGAGTATAATTTTTCAGACCAGTGGTTTTGCTATTGCATGAGAACTTTCTTAATCAACGTTTATCTCAAAGAACAGGCGCTGACAGAGATGAAGTAATAATGTGGCTATGAAATAATCTGCTGGAGGAAAAACTGTTTTCCCAAGTGGCTTTAGGGACAGAAAAGCCAATATATTTCTCTGGGTAAAATACACTGTGCTGGGTTCTTTCTACTCAGGCATTTCTGGTCTTTACAAAAAGCAAATAGTCTCCCTTGTGTCATTTTTAATTGATTTTTTTCACTGCATTACAAAAGATCATTGGCACCAGTCCAGGAAAAGGAAGGCAGCAAGTAGGGAATTCGTCAAAAACTGACACGTTGATCACTGGATCTGATGAAATAATTAGTATTTGATATTTTCAATATAGTTTCATACTGTTATTTTGACTTTGGTAAGCAAGAGAAAATCCCTTTATATCAGAAGATCACTGAACAAAACTATGATTTCAAACATTCTTTGGCATTCTTACTCATTTTTTGGAATTTCTCCTGGTAGGAATTGCTAAGAATTTTTTCTTGGTTCATTAACAGGAGCAGTACCAGGTAAATACGCTCTGCTTTGCAAACATTTGTGATGGAGAGAAATCATAGGCAGTACAAATCATTTTGGTGCATCCATTCCCGAACATTCGCAGTAATGGGCCTCCAAATGTATTCATTAATAATAATGATACTTCTCAAAAAAAAAATCTTGCAAACCAACAGAAATGCTGAAGGGATATCACACTAACATCAAAGCTGCAGTAGACTTCAAACAGTATCATACCATAGTTCCAAGATCTCGCAGCTCTGCTCTTTAATGAAATTTGTAAGATAAATCAGTGTATAACAAGTCTTCTATCTGAGGATCCTCTATGAATTTGCAAATGTGTTGTTAACTCAGTAGATTTTACGACAGTTCTGTTTAAAAATATGGATAGACATGGGAGTTTTTTCTTCAACATCTGTATTTTTGATGCAGTAAACAAAAATGTCATCTCAAAACATCGCAGAACCTTAAGGAAGAAGATTGCTTTTTATATGTATCAAAGCAAAAGTAAGAGTTTGATACCCTGCTAAATCCTTGAACTTGCTGCCAAATTTCAGCATAGAGTGAAACTTCATTGCCTAAGTTGGTAACAGCTTATGAACTGTGAATTTTTCAAGTTTCTGCTTCTAGCTGGCATGAGAAAAACATTCAATTGCTTTGTTGTTTGGTTTTGTTTGTGGTTTTTTTGTTTTGTTTTGTTTTTTTCCCCTTGGAAGTTGGCTTATTTCAAGTATATTGCTTTTTACTTCTTTGGAGAGAACCTTGCTGTTCCTTGGAGGGCTGGGGGGGTGTCAAAGTATAAGTAAGCATTTGTTTCCCTCTCCCTTATAGGAGACCTGCAAACAAAAAAGAAATAGAAGCCATTAACCTACCTTGTTCAGAGGTAACACTAAATCAGCACAATATGGCACAGCACAGTATTGTCCTTGGATTATTCACGATGACTGTTTTATCACTGTTGGATGGAAGTTCAGCTTTCCTGTTAAATCAACGTCTGAAGGGAAGATTTCAAAGAGACCGTAGAAACATCCGCCCAAACATCATCCTTGTTCTTACTGATGATCAGGATGTAGAACTTGGTAAGAGCTCAACAGAAAGAGAATTTTAGCTAGCAAGTATGATATTGCTTTTCCTTAAAGCTAGAATCTTGCCTTCAAAATAATTAAATTTTTTTCAGTGTGAAAAATGATAGGAAGAACAAGTAGCAAAAGTTTAAACCTATCTTTATGTAGAAAATACTTTCTGTCTGCGTGCCATTCAAGGACAGCAGAAGTTAGTCTCAACTTAGAATGTCAAACTTCCCGTTTCTGTGGAAATACAAGATTCCTGCCTATCTGTCTTCATCTACACACCTAAATTATGCTTCTGGCAATTGTAAGTATCACCTGGGAAGCTACATGCCAAAGCGGTAGGTTTAAATTCATAACTGATTATTGCACCATGTAATTACCCAATTTTTAGTGTGTAATTGCAGACATTCATTTCATATACAATTTTAATTTTAATTACTTAAATGTTGCTTAACATAGTCCTGCTATTCTTGGAATTGTCCATTTAGATGTATACTTAATTACTGACCAAAATCATTTAGTATGAAAAGGTTCTCTTGTGTTAATCAACGCTATGTTAATTGTTAAAGAAAGGAGATGAAGATTAAACACATGCTTTGCCTAATGATTTGGAATAATGAATTAACTGACAGAGTTTGGGGTTTGTTCTGTTACCTGAACAAGCTTATATTTACCAAATGTTGTCTGTAGTTAGGAGAAGTGATTAACACAAACCAGTTTACATTAATCAATTTGCATTAGAAATATGCTTTTAAGTGAGTATAAAGCCTGGATCATCTGAAAGACAAGAGCTTGTGTCTGTGTGGTCTGGTGGGGTTTTTTTGACAGTTGCATCAAATTTCTAGTATGGATAGGAAAAATTGGAAAACAGACCTCACGGAAGAAACAGAACACAATAGTGAAGTTAATCAACTTGTATTACTTATACACTTACTCATCTAGTTGAGAAGTTAATCATAGCAACATGGCAGTGTTCTTACAGATGCTTCCTTTTAATCAGTGTTACTGCATGACTGCATATCATAGATATCGCATTCTTCTCAAAGGTGGTGAGAAAGCCTGCTATGGCAGTAACCCCACCAAATATAAATGTAATTCAAATTAGTAGCATCAGAAGATTATTTGTTGTTGTAGTTGTCACTTTTTTTTAAATGGTTATTTGGATCACAAATAAAGCAGTTTCAATAATGTATATCCAAAAGAACCTAAGTACATTATCTCGCAGGCTCAGAAGGTGGTCCTAAAAAATTTATCATCTTCTATTTTATGCTAGCCTACTTGTTTCTGATGCAATTGTCTAAGTCCTTTGGGTAGTATATTTCTCTTCTCTGATAATCTGATGCTTTCCAATTTCAAGCATAATGGGCATGTGTCCACACAAATTAGGATCTAACTAAGGAAAATCCATTTGATGAAGCTGAGATTTTATATTCGCCATTTGCCGCTAATGGCTTTGTGAGACCCAATATTTGTTTGAATTAATTTTTATTCTTGTCTATTGTCTGGTGAGCTGTCCAAGTTAATCAAAATTGCCATTTGTGGGGATTGTGGTTAATATATTTAAGAAAGATGAAAACAAGATGTGAATTAAAAAAGAAAAAGCTAAGGAAAACTTGGAAGCTATGAAAGTGTAGCAGAGAAGGCTGTGCATAACTAAGATTTCATCTGTTTCTAAGAATATTCTGCAACTGATTGGTGTTGTAGTTTTCATTGTTCTTTTGTGGCTGCTTTTGAGGCAAAAGGGAAGACAACACAATCTCAAGTGCTCTTACCAGCCTTTCCTTTATTTAGTTTAAGATAGATTTAACAATGTACCAGTAGCAGGTGGAATTTACCAGAAAGAGAACATTGTCCTTTCAGGAAGGGAGTACAACTTTTTTTTTTTTTTTTCTCTCTCTTTAATTTGCACTACTGTTAATCATCATTTTTACTTGGGAAACCAAACCTCAGCCTTGTATTGAAGAAAGGAAAAGACTGATAAGGGCCTGATGAAAAGGATGCAGAATCTCCAGGTCAAAGAAGAACAAGTGTAAATTGTAATGGATACAAATGGGAGAAGACAAATGAGAGCCCCAAGAACTACTGAAACATACACACTCAGTTGACTGTCTAATCAAAAGAGTTGTACTGACAAGCAGAATAGAAAGAGGAGGAATATACTGACAAGGAGAAAGAATTAATTAGAAACAACGACTTTTTTTTTTTCCATTGGAGCCATTTAAGTCCAAGTTAGTGTAATGCTGATGTCCCCTGTGTGATAGACTCAGCATCTCCAGTTTAATTAGGTTTGCCTACCATATTGCTGTGGTTTAACAAACCAGCTTATTCCATTATCTCATAGTTGGAGAAAGATCTGATTATTTAGAAGATATATCAGCCACGTTAGAGAAATCTGAGTGAGAGGTGATTTGTATGTTCCTAAGTCTTCCTCTGAAAAACTACAAAAGTGGCATGGAAGATAATTTTTCTTAGTAATCATACATGGAGATTAGAGTTTTGTTGAAATTAAATATAAGGAAAAAAAAAAAGGAAATGAAGAGTGAAAATGGTGTCTAATGAGGTTCAAATAGGATAAAAATAAAAGGCATTAGGAGACAATTAACATTCTGGGGTTCAGTTAACTTATCTGTGTATGGATACCACTTCTTAAATTGTGCTTCACTGTAGACTAAGTCACTTGGGACTTCGTACAAGTTCTTCAACAGCTGGAGTTCCCTAAAACTCTGACAAGAAAACTCAACTAATGAGAAAGTCAATATTATTTCATAAACAACTGGTATGTATTCTCCATTAATATTAGTCAAAATATCAGCCTTGTCCCCGAAGTGAACTGTGAAGACACACTAAGCAAAGTTAGGGATACCACACAAATTTCAAGTGGAATTTCAGCCTTGGTTTTGCTTCGCTTTGTTCAGTGAGCAGCATGAATGCATCAAATTGATTAAACTTTCGTATTTTTACAGTAGTCCAATGGATATTTTTAAAAATAGCTTAGAAATTTCACATTTAACTACTAAATCATTTTTATTTATTATCAGTGGTTTTAGGTAACAGAACATTTTATCAATTAAATATTGACACTTCAAAGCATGACTTCCCTTGGTACGTCCACTAATGAAACCCCAGAAGGTTTTCCAGCTCCAAAAGTGATTTGTGAGGTTTCAGTTGCTGATTAATACATAACTAATCTTCTGCCACAGAAAGATCAATTCCTACTTTTTCTACATACAATTCTATGTTTGTATTGCAGGCAAGCTGAAGAAAATAAGTTTTGGTTGGCTGGTTTAATGCTGTTTAAAATATTTAAAGCTGGCCTATTTAGGATTGTACAGAAGAGTATGCTGGATTTTTACCTTCCACTGATCTGTCACTCTGTATTAGTTTTCAAGCTGGGGAAGCAGATTAGATCATATGTTTTTGTATTAAAGACTGTTGATATATAGGGCCTTGTCATTACAGCAGTTTTATTAAAGGAGGTTACTGTCCCCAAGGGGAGTCTTAACATGTACTGTTATTTATGCACAGATGCCTCTGTCATTTGAAGGGGTTGTTAAATTGTATTTTAATATCAGGATGACAAAACATTCTTTGGTCTGCCTGTTTATGCTTGGGCTAGCTCATAAGACAACACAGAGGAAACATCCACAGTGTTCAGGCTCACATAATGTATAATTGACTGTTATAATTGTTAGCTGTCTTGTTAGTGCCTTTGAGCACTAACACTTATCCCACAGTTATGAAAACAAATAATCTTGCTTTCTTCAGAAACTTACTTTTGATATGTGAAGTTTAGCAAGTTCTAAAGGGGGAGTGCAATAACCTGCCTTGGTTCTTGTCATAAAGTGATGTGACAGAAATGTGCTCTGACCTGAGGAATACACAATCAGATTTTTAAATATTTTTTAATATTAATTCCCACAAAATTATTTCAAGAAAACTAATACCATGGCAATTTTTAGGTGAAATGATCTACAGTAGCAATTAACCTTCCTTCATGGTCCCAGAGAGTCAGATTTTGTATGTGGTTTATGACCATTTTCCCTCTAGATTTTGACTCCTGGTTATATCAATGTGCCCTGTATCAAATCTGCTTACTGTTGCAATTTCATAATGAAATCCCTGCCTAAACAACATAGAAGAAACCTAAACCCATTATTGACAGCAACAACATACAGTTCATGCCAAATGGCTACAGGATGCATTGATTAAAGCTGAACTATTAATCCAACTCAATCTTGGGTAAGTTAGCCCCAACCCTACTCCAGCATGAACCCATACCTTCATCTCCATGTTGTCTGTTGGCTTTCTCTGCTCATAACAAGAAGGGAGGGTTGGTGATGGAAAGGTTTACTCTCCTTTGCGAGGTCATGCTGATGACAGGTATCATTACAGGTTCTTTGGGAAATGGGAATTCTTCCCATTATAACTCACTCTGATGCAGTTTTAACTATCAGGCACTGATAGATGATGTCTTTTTTTCTTCTGACCCTTGGTCTTTCTGTGTGTAGGAAGAACTCTGATATGGATCCAGATTTAGCTAGGTGGATGTCTATGGTAGAGAATCCAGTCTTTGTCCAAAGCCTTGTCTTAAATAGGAAACAGAACAGCCATTTTGCAGCAGAGTGGCTTTTAGTAATAGTTGGCAAAAAGACTTTTACTCCCGTTACCTCAATTCATCCAAGTCCCTGCCAGTTAAACTGGCTTGTTTGTTTTTAGATGATGGTTATAAACTACACGGTGTTATCTGTCCCAGGTAGTTATCTAAAAATCTGATTCTGCAGAACCAAGCCTAAGAAAATTTAGGGAGTTTTAGGTAAAGCTATTATCAACGTGGATCAAGTGGATAGATAGAAATCTGTGGGCTGGTTATGGAAATAAATTAGAGGGCTTTACTTTGTCTTTGGTTCAATGAAAGTTCCAGAAGTCAATACCTGCTAATACCTCACATTAGGAAGAAGAACATTCTATCTAGAGAACAACTCTAGCAGACCATGCTTGAGCAGAGGATTGGACTAAATAATCTCCAGAGAACCATGCTTAAGGAGTGTACAAATTTTGGTCAGGGTTGCTGCACAAAGTGAAGTTCACACTTAGGACACATTGTCTCAGCCTAATTTGTGCTAGTTCTTGCCTTCAGCTACTGGAACCGTACTAGTGGCCCCAGAAAGGCTGTACGGATGGTGCAGATAGTTACAGTGGTAAATCTTGAGGCTATGAGGTTAAAGAGAGAGAAATTAAAGAAGCATTATGATCTATGTCAACAAGTTTAAGTCAAATCTTCAGTTTGGACTTTGGTATTTGATCCTTCTTAAAACAATGGAAGAACTTTGCTAGAGGGGAGAGAATAATCTCTTCGGATTTGGGTCCACTATGAGATTTCAATGCCCTTACTACCTGTGCTTTGTTCTGGCCTGTGATATAACACATGAGCTCTTAGCTGGCTCTTGTGACTGAAACAAGAAAATAATTCTGAGATGGTTTTCTTCTTCCAGGTTCTATGCAAGTGATGAATAAAACAAGGCGGATCATGGAACATGGAGGTGCTCATTTCATCAATGCATTTGTGACAACACCCATGTGCTGCCCATCTCGCTCCTCTATTCTTACGGGGAAGTACGTCCACAACCACAACACTTACACTAACAATGAGAACTGTTCTTCTCCGTCCTGGCAGGCTCAGCATGAAATACGTACGTTTGCAGTGTACCTCAACAACACAGGATACAGGACAGGTAAGATCAAGGCTGGCTCCATCTGAAAGCTTCCTTGGACTTGTTAGTACAAAGTCTACTGTATTTTAATATTTTAATTTGTTCTCATAATGGACTGCAGTGGTGCAGAATGCCAGAGATTCAGTTGTGCATGTAGGTTTAGCTTCCTTGTACTTTTACTTGAGGAAATAAAAAAAAGAAAAAAAAAAGAAAAAAGAAAAAAAAAAAAAGGAAAAAAAAAAAAAAGACTTTGAGAAGCCGGGAAGGATGAAATAATGTGCATGTTTGAACCAAAGGCATAGCACATGTAGAATTTGCCCTGCAATTAACTGAAGTGCATAGAACAGACAAGAAAGATGCTATGGAAAGGAATTAATAATTTGAATTTTTTGTAAAACAGATATATTAATCAAGAATACAAGCAAAGGCACTGCTACTTCTGTGGTTTGGGGCAGAGCTGTCAGCTGGATTGGTTTCTCTAGACAATCCATACCTAGAAGAGTGTTTAGGATAAGTTGAGGAATAATCATCAAGATCAAATGTACTCCTGAGAAACAAATGATCCTCTGCATGCAGTGCTCCTTAGGAACAAAGTTCCTGTAGAAAGGATTTCAGAAAGTGTAGCACATGTTTCACACCTATTTCCTTCTTGCATTCTCTAGACAGGAGATTTAGGTCCTTGCCCTGTTACAGTGGTTTTGTTACATTTCTTGCTAATGCCTTTTGTCATCATGAGAAACAGGCATAAATCTGGTTCTATTTGTGTTATTTATAGTATATATACTATAATATTGTAGTATAGTTGTTACTGATAGAATACATTTGTGCTTTGAATTTACAGTATTTGAGGCTTCCAGAAAGTAGGATAAATCTTGAATAATAATTGTTACAAGGTCATTATTTTCTTTCTAACTATTCACGTGAGTTTTAAATGTCATTGTTGCAAAGTCTTAGTCTTAAAACAAATAGGTAATTTCCTTGTTTTCTTTTTCTAAAATAAAGACCTGAATTAATCTGAAAATAAATAAATTAGGGGAAGTGCACAAACCTTATGAATTGGTTGCTGTTTCCCTCCGTTTATCATTCCTGGCACTAATACCAATGATCATGTGAATACCACACCAAGGTTAATGTGTTGTTCTTCATAGATTATTTGTTTTGTGTTTACTGATGTTTGTCTGTTGTAATAATTTTTATATTTAGTGACTATATTTTGAGCACCTGCAATTTCTACTAACTTGTGTAGCTATATATACTTGTATGTATATATATGTGTATATGTATGTTTAGCAAGTGTCCTGCTATTCATGTGTCTTACATTTTTACATTAACTTAGTGTTTCAATTTAGACCCAAATCTTAGTGAATCTATATTACATTTTTAGTCTACTTAATTTGCAAACTAAATTTATTGGAACACACAGAAATAGTACTTTTACAAGTACAAAGCAATCTTCAGGTGTAAATGAGATCCTCATTCATGTAGTTAAATGTGATATGGTATTATACAAATTTAAATGGGAATTGCTTTTATTGGAGACTGGTGTTCATTTCTGATCTCCAGTTAAAGTCTTGAGTTATCCACTAGGAAGGATGTCAATAGTAAGAAGGTATTTTTTTGCCTTTTTTTTTTTTCCTAAAGATCTGATCAGGTTTACCTGCTTCAGAAATAGCAGGAAATTGTACTTTAGAACCTTGTTCACTCAGTTTCTCAAGTTTCAAAAGTAACCTGCTAAGGCGAGTATTTTGGAGATTATGAATACTGTTTCTCGGAAATGGGGAGTCCTCCTTAAACATGACTGCAGTGAACAAAGGAAGATCTGGAAAGCACAGGAGTTCATTTGTAGGGGTTTTTTTAATAATTTTTTGAGGTCCATGATAGTACTAGTTTGCCCTGTAAATGTACAGGTTAGCTTCTTGATTCCTTTTTTTTGATGAAGGAGGAGAAAGAGGCCATGAGAAATAAAGCCTTTTGAAGCTTGCTCTTATATTTAAGTTCACAACCTTGGAGTGAGAAAGCTGTTATTTTGGAAGGGAGTTTGGTTTTTTCTTAATTCATAAGCCAGGCCTTCTCCCTGTGTGTTTCTCTTCTCTCTTCTCTTTTGTTGAAACTTGAAGGAAGAAATTGTACTCTCCTACTCCACTTAACTTTCCCTCTGTTTTTCTTTGCTTGTTTCGCTTCTCCTTGCCCTCTTCTCTATCCATTGTGATCTCCTGGTGTTTTGTTCTGTTGCAAAAGATGATTCTGCTGGCTACCGTTCTTTCTGCATTGTAGTATTTTCCCTGTGGTGGTGGCGGCATTTGTGATTTGGATCTATACAGACTTGTGCTGCTGCTGACACCTTTGGGAAACGTACCGGTGGTATGTGGGCAAGTTAGAGCAGTGTGGTGCAGGCTTCACCTGCACGAGTTGCAAGTGAAAAATAGGAGATGGAAAAGGTGCCACTTTCCTATGATTGTTTCTCAGTTTCAGCCTTGGTTGTCAGTTTTATGTTTTTCAGCTTTGGCACTTTAAAAAGTTTGACCAACTGTGTTAGGCACCAGACTTGTCAGAACAGAGATGAAAGGAAGAGGGTGAGCTCCAGGGAAGTTCTGTCTTGGGCTTTAACAGTCATGATTTCAACCATCATGCATAGGGTTCACTGTCACTTTATGTGGATCAATTAAAATAAATATCATGACAATGCAAAGGATGGGTTTTCCTTCTACAGTGGAAGCCATTGAGGCATTAGGTGTTACGGGTATATGTCTTCCTCTGCATTAACCTGTCTCACAATCTAAAAAAGGCCAGTGTCATGAATAGTGACTGAGAGGCTGCGTTCTCGTTACATAGCCACTACATGTAGACAAGAAGTTCCCAAACCCAGTATATTAAGCAATCAGTCCAGTTTAGAAGAGCTTTTCACATCATTGCCCTATTACATATTGTGGGAAATTAGACAAGGACAATTTATGTAAACAAACCAAGTCAATTGATGAATTAATCTTTAGAAAAGTCAGTGTAAGCAACATCTGAATCATCACTAACTTAAAATAGTGGATGCTAGTATTTCAACTTGGAGCAGGAGGTGATTAGAATGGAAAAGAAACAAAGAGATCCTGTGACAAACATTTCTGAATGTCAGGGAATTTCTCTGCCAAAGGTTCCTGTGTAAACATTTACAGAAAAAAAGGTTCTGTTTTCTGTGAACATACACATCTCTTTCTGTGAGACAGCTTTTAAAATGCACAATGCATTGTTGCATGCTTGGGTCCTGCAGCAACAAATACCAAGATGTTTTATTGGAATACAGATTTAAACTTTGCCTTAGACATTACTTAATGAGAAAAGCTTCTCTTTTCCATTTGCCTAGCTGGCTGAATGATTAGGTCTTAAAATCGGTGACTGATTCCAGAATATTTTGTCAGCCTTATCTGCAGTCAGGAAATGAAAAGACATGTTTATCTTATTAAATTCAACAGAATTAGGGGTGGTGGGCCAAATTCAGCCTGGCAGAAGGACACTTTTGCTTCAGTGAATTTTCTGAGAGTTAATTTATGTTAGGGCTTAAGGTGGCTCAGTATGCAGCAAATGCAGTACACATTTGGGCTAGTTTACCATCCTTGTTCCTAGTGAGCAGTACCCTATAGTTCCCTATTCACTAAAATGAACCTATTAACAAAGGAAAAAACCTACTTCTTGTATGGTAATGTGTCAGTATCTGACTCTGATGGTACGTCCATACTTGAATTATGCAAAGAATTAATAAATGCCATTTTGTATGTGTCGTGTGTTTTGAACCTAGAGAAAAGTCATTGTGGGAGGTCCGTCTCTGCCATTATAAAAATTTTCTTGGGAATAAAAGTAATAATCATTCTTAGCACTTTCACAGGGCTTTACAATAATTAACTAATGACTTCATTAAAATTCAGTGACAATCTTCCATTTCCTCCCGTTAATATTAGACTAAGAAGATACAGTGGCTGACTGCATTCAAATAATTATTTTTCCACTTCACTGTCTGAGCCTTTGACATTTAAAAGTGATTTCAACATTAAATTGCAAGAAAGAGGAGAAAGGCTATTGGTAAATGTTTGTTAAAGGAGGAATGAACCTGAAAAATGTGTGACCGGATTTTAATATCTAGATACATGCCAGGAGAAAAATTCTTAGATTATCAGTTCCCTGCTGTAGAATTTGTTCTCCACAATAGTTGCTGGTTGCTATATTTTATTACAGAAATACTTAAAAATTTAACTGAAGTTGATCCCTGTGTGTAATTGCTTGGTAGGGAATAATTGATGACCTAAAGAGTCAAAGGATAGCCACCAGTAGAGACAAATAGTGAAGTACTTTCTACAAGGTCACATCCAGGTGAAGAGCAACATTAAGAAGAGATGAAAGCTTTGATTTGCACTCCAGTGCCCTAGCCACTACACCACGCTGCACTACTTCTCTGTCATGTACATGGCTGTAAAGCAAGCAGATTATCCAAATCTGAGTAACATCCTATGTGCAGGACAGATAGCTTTTGCAGCTAATGAAGAAATGAAGGCCATTTTTAAAAATAATAACCAAGTGATTTAAGAGTCAGGCTTAATTTTTAGAAGTGATTTGCACGATTAGGAACTGAAGCGTTAACGGTGTTCACCTTCAAGACATATAGGTGACTTTTCAAAACTGGATATCAGGTTTCTGAATTATTTATCTCAAGGTAAATTGGTTTCCTTAGATCGTTTGCTCTCTGTATAGAAATATTATCTTAGCAAAGTCTGTCAGATTATATCTGTTAGATGGTTTGAGACCATTAGACTTGAAAATGGTGTGAAAGAAAGATTCGGTGTAGTGGATATATCATGACAGCTGTTATTGCAAAAGGAAACCAAGGATCTGTGCTGGACAGGACGTAAAAAGAGTCCTGATGCATAGCCCCAATCCACTGACTCTGCCCATGTTACTGCTTCTGGCAATCTTGGTCCATGGTGGTGAATTTTTGAGCTGGAATATCCTGCAAATATTCTTATGAATGGCATTTTCAAACA